ATCAAGAATATATACACTTTGTATGGTCTAAAACTTAAAATACATTTCATACTATGGTGGAGGATATAATAAACACTGAAGCAATGTCGCCCAACGTGTCTGTAAATCAAGTGTTACGAGATACTCAAAACTTTTTGGATTATATGGCGTCCAATATTTTTTAGACCCAGGATTATACCTACAACCCTACATTACTTCGGTCAGAGTTCGGGCCTCCGAAGATAGATGCATTTTCAACAGTTAGAAAGTGAAGTGCAACGCATACATTTTGCAAAATATCTGTTTTCTTGCTTTCTGCAATAACTTATTACGATATTTTTGTGAGAGAGGAAATTCCTTTAATTAAAGTTACCGAGTATTTTTTTCTGGGAAAGCTACCATACACTCTTATTGTTAAGGGGAGTTAGATGGAAAATTCATTTTTTTATCGGAATATCAAAAAATCATTATGAATCATTTTGTTATAATTCTGTATACGTTGGGCGCCACTCAAATCGACTTGTCAGATTAGGGGTACATTTTTTAGTTTTTAGGAGTTTTTCTTTTAAAAACTTGCACTACGATGCAATGACGCCACGTTGGGCGCCACTAAAGGAATATAAAATCAAAATCGGTAAAGTTTTAAGAAATGAGTTGAAAAATTGAATTTTAGACAATCAAGAGAGATTGAAAACGTCTCCTTTTCGGACTGGTGCCGAGTTTGGCGCCGTTAAATTAGTTTTCAGTCCTTCTAATATTTTTTTCCAAACTTTTTCCTATGCTCTCGTTGAACAGACAAAACTAATTTTTTTTGTATTTTATTCCATTTAATTTATGTATTGGTCGCAATGTTAAAGAAATGCATCGAGCCGGTTTAAGTAGGTTTGCAGGTGCAATATTGTTGCCACAAAACAAATAAAATATCAAAAATATATGCGGATTTGAGAAATGAGAGCAGAGAAAATCAGGAGAGCAGAGAAAGTCAGGTTAGGGCCACTCTGTGGCGTTCTGAGCGAGTTAATTAGTTTCCAGTTTTTTTTTCAAAAAATTAAAAGCTCCTCCTCCTCCACTTTATTAATACTAGGGTTGCCTTACGAAGGAAACGCATGGCTTAGGACTCTTGCGAAAGTATAGTCCCAGGTCTATAATATATTGGGCGCAATATGATCAAAAAACAGTTTCCTTTGCTTAAAGCTGGTTATGTATCTCTTGACACTCCGCCATAGACACGTTGGGCGCTACTGTTTGAGTGTTTATTATACCTTCCACCATATTATGGAGGTTATATTAACTCTGGCAGAAGTAATGTGGGTCTACAGGTGTAATCCTGGGTCTAAAAAATCTTGGGTACCATATGATCCAAAAACATTTTCCTAACTTTGAAGTTGTCTATGTATCTCTTGACACTCCACCAAAGGCACGTTGGGCGCCACTGCTTGAGTGTTTATTATACCCTCCACCATAGTATGGAGGGTATATTAAGTTTGTTATTCCGTTTGCAACACCTCGACATATGTATTTTAAGTCCTTATTTTTTTTAATAAACAACACCGTATTGAGTCTTCTGATTTTTTTTCTATGGTCCTTGGGTATGTTGTTAGTGTTTGAGAGTAGAAACAAGAAAAAAATCGGTTGCTATTGTTACGAAAATAATAAACTTTATTAAAAGTTTGTGCTGGAATGTTGTAGCAGCATAAACAATTGTTTGTTGCGTTAGGAAATGACCTTCTTTTAAAAATACCAAAGCAACGGATTAATAAACAATAACAAAAGGTCAAAGGGGTTTTTGCCAACAGTTGTTGTCGTTGTTGTAGTTTGGAAAAAAATGTTGGAAACGAATCGAAAGATTTTTACCATGTTCGAAAGAAATAAAATAGAAAAAATTCTCAGAATTGGGATTTGGGTTTAAATTTTTTTAATAAAATTAATTCTTTTAATAAAATGATTTCTTTTTTAATAAAATGATTTTTTTAAATAAAATGATTTTTTAAATTAATTTTTTTTAAAATAAAATTATTTTTTTTTTAAATCAACTTAATTTTTTTTAATAATATTATTTTTTTAATAAAATTGATTTGTTTTAATGAAATTAATTTGTTTTAATAAAATTGATTTGTTTATAAAATTATTTTTTCTTAATAAAATATTTTTGTAATAAAATTAATTTTCCTAATAATATTATTTATCAATAAAATTATTTTTTATTTAAATAAAATTAATTTTTTATAAAATTTTTATTTCTTAATAAAATATTTTTTTAATAAAATTATTTTTTTTTAATTAATACATTAAATAAAATTAACTTTTTTAAATAAAATGAGTTTTTTAATCAAATTAATTTTTTAATAATATTATTTTTTTTAATAAAATTAATTTGTTTTAGTAAAATTGATTTGTTTATAAAATTATTTTTTCTTAATAAAATATTTTTTAATAAAATTAATTTTCCTAATAAAATTATTTTTTAATAAAATTATTTTTTTTTAATAAAATTAATTAGTTTTATAAAATTATTATTTCTTAATAAAATATTTTTTTTAAAAAAATTCATTTTTTATTAAAATTAGTCTGAAAGTTGTCTGCTCCTTCAAACTATGCCCTGATGTCTAGCAAATTTATTTACAATTACCTCATTTCAATAAGTTATTTTTTTTTGTAATTTCTTAATATCATTTATATGCTAAATGAATATGTAAATTTTACCAACCCTTCCTCTCTGTTCTTTTCTTTCGATTCGCGTATCAGAGAATGAAGTCAAAAGTCGCTGTTGACACACGTGTTTACTCTTTTTGTTGTTTTTGTATTTTTTCTTTTTGTAAATTCTTATTATTTATTATTACAGGTGTTAATTGGCTTAAGACTGTAAAATTAACAAAAAAAAAAAAAAAAAAAAAAAAGGAATGCTGTTACAAAAAAATCAAAATTATTATTATAGGTTTTTTGATCTTTACCAAAATGAGTCAGAGAAAGAGGATGGAAAGAGCAGAAAGAGGAAAAAAAGGTTTTGAGAAAATAACGATTCAAAATTTATTTTTCTTTAAAGAAGTAAACTGTATCGAAGCTATGTAAAATATGTTAACCGATCTCGATAAAATTTGGTAGAGGTATTTTCGAGCAGTATATACTGCCCATAGCTATAGATATATCTGGATCGATTTTCATCAAAATTTTAAGTATTTGGTCCTGGGCTAAATTCCGTCGGATATGCCAAAATGCAGTCCATTTGGGCTGATATTAGCCATTTAGTGCACAAAAAAAAAACTGAAATCGGAAAAAGATATATATGAGAGCCACCGATCTTGACGAAATTTTTAACACTTATTTCTGAGCTGTATCTGATATCTGGTACCAAGTATCATTCTTGTGGGGTGCATATTACGCATGTGAGGAACTTAAAACCCTAAATCGGATGGAAGATATATATAGCAGTTATACAAATATATCTGAACCGATTTGATCAAATTTGAAGTATTTGTTTCTAGGATGAATTCTGTTGGAATTGCCCAAATTCAGGATAACTGGGCTGATATTTGCCATTTGGTGCACAATAAACCTGGAATCGGGTTTATATCGATAAACTTTGACAGAGATATTTCTGGGCTGTATCTGATATCTGGTACCAAATATCAATGTTGTGGATTGAAAATTTCGCATGTGAGGGACTTTAAACCGTAATTCGTATGAAACATATATAGGGGAGCTATATCTTTATCTCCAAACTTGAAGTACTTGTTTCTACGATGAATTCAGTTGGAATTGCCAAACTTCAGACCAATTGGGCTGATATGAGTCATTTAGTGCCCAATAAACCTGAAATTGGATAATGGTATATAAGCTATATCTGAACCGATCTTGATAAAATTTGACATTGGTATCTCTGGACTGTATTTAATATCTGGTACCAAATATCATTCTTGTGGGCTGCATATTGCGAATATGAGCTACTTTAAACCCCAATTCGTATGAAACATATATATGGGTGCTATAGCTATATCTGAACTGATTTTTACTAAATTTGATGTACTTGCGTCCGCTAGACCCAGTTCGGACAGATGTGCCAAGATTCAGGTCATTTGGACAGATATTGGCCACTTGGTGCACAATAAACCCGAAATCGGTTGAAGATACGTATGGGAGCTATATCTTAATTTTGACCGATTATCTCCAATTTTAATAGGGTTCGTCCTTGGGTCAAACAAATGATTTGTGAAAAATTTAATCTGGATCGGTCAATAAATGCGATCTGTATTTTATTTTCAAAAATACATGGACAGACGTCCGGACGGCCGGATTTGTATAAATCGACTCAGAATGTGATTCTATGCAGATTCTCAAAAGTAACTATGGGTCTTTCTCGCTTCCTTTTGCCTGTTACAAAAAAAATGCAAAATACATAATACCCTGACCACCTTGTGGTGTAGGGTATAAATACACTTCCACTAGCCAATGGAATTTTTATACAAAAATGAAATTGAAAAAGTCCCTAGGGTCTCTGGATTTTTTTAAAACCCCTTCCTACCCTTTCAATGTTATTCTATTAACCAAAGTAACTCATTTATCATCCTGTCACCGCAATTATTCTGACGTCAATTTTTTCAAAACTCTTTGTTGTCTTTTGCAATTAAAAAAAATCTTTATATAAAAAATATATATTTGGCTTTTAATATTCTAAACACATTAGTCTGTTGATGGGATTGTCTGATGTTATATTTGTCTGATTTCGATGAGCGCAAATGAATAATTCGACATTTTATTTAAATTATTTATTTTTTTATTTTTTTTTTGTTGCTAACTACATTTAATTAATATTCCAATTTGAAATTATAAAGAAATTAAGTCACAATAACAAAATTTGTTTTGTATGCTAATGAGATTAATTTGTGATTTTTTGTTTTTGAACTTGAAAAGCATTTTGTTCGGATATAATTAAAATGATTTGGGGGAAAAAAATCCCAACCGGTAACTAAAATGGAATTTTTTTAAATTAATTTGTTTTTGTTTTTTTTTTTTATTTTTTCCAGGGAACTTCAAGATGGCTCACTTAAGGAAAACAATCTCATGGATGGCTCAAAAATTATTCTGATACCAAATGTTGAAACTGGTTTACTGGTAAGTTGAATTTAAGGAAATTGGAGGAATTGGTCTATTATAAGGTTCCATAAAATTCCAAATTATGGCTGACCCTCAAACCTTTTCAAAATGGTGTCATATGTGCCATACACTCCGCCTAGGACGCCTATATTTTAAGCCCGAAACGATCCTCAAATGAACGATTCGAATATTTTTTTTCCACAGATCTAAAAAACAATATACTTTTTCATCTCTCTCTCTCTCTCTCGCGTCATTACACCCCTCATATATTTTGTAGCCGTTGTTGAACACGTTCTAATTGTTTTTGCAATGCGGCATTTCTATTGTTTACTTAAACTGAATAAATTGTAACAATTCTATTTATTCTAACACCGCACAATAATGTTTTGTTGTTTTTGTTTTCTTTTATGATAAAGTGCAATAACAAATATTTACAGAGCAATATATTTCAGAACCGGGGAGAGAGCGAGGCCGTGTGATCAGTTGGTGTTAAATAAATGATATTGAAGATATGTGGACTGGAATAAAAATTTTAAAACTAAAAAAAGTCGAAGACTGATGGTTTTGATTTTCAGAATTTTTGAAAACAAATTTAAATTTTTCGAAAATAAATTTAAAATTTTCGAAAATAAATTTAGAATTTTCGAAAATAGACTTAAAATTTTCTAAAATAAATTTAAAATTTTCGAAAATAAATTTAAAATTTTTGAAAATAAATTTAGAATTTTCGAAAACAAATTAAAAAAAAAATAAATAAATAAATAAAAATAAGAAAATTTTGGATAAAGTGAATCCAAAAATTTGAAAACACTTGATTCAGTGCACTCCAATATATCGACCAACAAAAATCTCATGGTGTAGGGTATCAAAAAAATTGAAATCAACCAATCGCATTTGTCGAAACAAAAATATAGAATTTTCGAAAATAAATTTAGGATTTTCGAAAATAAATTTAGGATTTTCGAAAATAAATTTAGAATTTTCGAAAAAAAAAATTAAAAAAAAAGAAAATTGTGGACTTGAGTGAATCCAAAAATTTGAAAACACTTGATTCAGTGCACTCCCATAAATCAACTACCAAAAATTACATGGTGTAGGGTATCAAAAAAATAAAAATCAAATGCCTTTATTTTTGGGGACTGGATTGAAAATTTAAAATTCATCGGAAAAAATTTCGAAGAATGAGAATTTTAGAATTTTTGGAAATAAATTTACAATTTTCAAAAATAAATTTAGAATTTTCGAAGAAAAAAATTAAAACAAATTTGAGAGAATCCAAAAATTTTAAAACACTTTTTAAACTCAGTGCACTCCCATAAATCGACTAACAAAAATCACATGGTGTAGGGTATCAAAAAAATAAAAATCAACCAATTGCATTTGTCGAAACAAAGCCTTTTGTTGTGACTTTTTATTTTTGGGGCTGCGCTAAACACTTGCACACATAAACATATACCCCTTTCCCCCTCCCCCCTCTCTCTCTATCGTCTCGTTGAGAACAACAAACAATTACAAATTCGTGGCTTTCCAAAGTTGTGTGTTTCAATTAAATATGAAATGCAGCAGCTACTAAAATTGACTTTTGTTCGTGATTTTTTCTTCAAAAAAAAATATTTTTAAATATTGAAAGAATCAATAAACACAATAATAAATTTCAAATATATTGCTGCGCTCCCTGCCAAAAATATAAGTATTTAATTATTGAAATATTATTGTAAAAAATTACAATTTTTTTCATTTATTTTTTTATTTTAAATTGCAAATGAGGCTAAGTCGACTTTATTTTAAAATTAAAGGAGAGTGTGAGTAGTCATAGAGACAAAACAACAGAAATTAAAATTTATCAGAAAAGGGATTTTTTAATTAAACTCAGTTCTTTTAAAAAATTGTGCGCCTTTGTGGGTGAGGTACCAGAAGGACTGGACCTATATCTACCATCTTCACATCAGATCTTGTATTGGAAATAATATAGGTATATGTGAAATTTGAAGAGAATCGGATGCATATTTTGCATTTTATGAGCAGTTAGGTTTTTCACAATGTTGACCCGTTTGTGGGGGAGGTGCCAGAAGGACTGATCCGATACATTCCATCTTTACACCAGATCTTGTGTTGGTGGAAATATTGGGATGTGTGAAATTTGAAGAGAATCGGATGCATATTTCGCATTTTATGAGCATTTTGGTTATTCAAAATTTTGACCCATTTGTGGGGGTGGTACCAGGAGTAGGGGTCCGATACCATCCATCTTCACACCAGCTTAAGTTTTGGCAAAAATATTAGAATGTGTGAAATTTGAAGCGAATCGGATGCTTATTTAACATTTTATGAGAGTTTTAATTATTCAAAAATTTTGACCCATTGCGGGGGAGGTACCAGGAGGACTGATCCGATACCATCCATCTTTACACCCTATCTTGTGTTGGTGGTAATATTGGGATGTGTGAAATGTGAAGAGAATCGGATCCATATTTCACAATTTATGAGCATTTTGGTTTTTCAAAATTTTGAACCCTTTGTGGGGGAGGTACCATAAGGAGTGGTTCGATATATTCCATCTTCATACCAGGTTTTGTGTTGGAAAAAATATAGGGATGTGTGAAATGTGAAGAGAATCGGATGAATATTTCGCATTTTATGAGCATTTTGGTTTTTCAAAAAGTTGACCCGTTTGTGGGGGTGGTACCAGGAGTAGTGGTCCGATACCATCCATCTTCACACCAGCTTAAGTTTTGGTAAAAATATTGGGATGTGTGAAATGTGAACAGAATCGGATGCATATTTCACATTTTATGAGCATTTTGGTTTTTCAAAATGTTGACCCATTTGTGGGGGAGGTACCAGGAGGACTGATCCGATACCATCCATCTTTACACCAGATCTTGTGTTGGTAGAAATATTGGAATGTGCGAAGTTTGAAGAAAATCGGATACTTATTTTGCATTTTATGGGACTTAAAGTTATTCCAAATTTTGACCCTTTGTGGCGGAAGTACCAGAAGGAATGAACCAATTTCTTCGATTTTCACAGCTAATCTTGTTTTGCTAGAAATATTGGAATGTGCGAAGTTTGAAGAAAATTGGATACTTATTTTGCATTTTATAAGAGATATAATTATTGAACAATTTTAACCGGTTGCGGGGGAGGTACTCGAAGGCCTGTGCCGATATCTACCATTTTCACAGCTAACCTTGTTTTGCTAGAAATATTGGGATGTGTGAAATGTGAACAGAATCGGATGCATATTTCACATTTTATGAGCATTTTGGTTTTTCAAAATGTTGACCCATTTGTGGGGGAGGTACCAGGAGGACTGATCCGATACCATCCATCTTTACACCAGATCTTGTGTTGGTAGAAATATTGGAATGTGCGAAGTTTGAAGAAAATCGGATACTTATTTTGCATTTTATGGGACTTAAAGTTATTCCAAATTTTGACCCTTTGTGGCGGAAGTACCAGAAGGAATGAACCAATTTCTTCGATTTTCACAGCTAATCTTGTTTTGCTAGAAATATTGGAATGTGCGAAGTTTGAAGAAAATTGGATACTTATTTTGCATTTTATAAGAGATATAATTATTGAACAATTTTAACCGGTTGCGGGGGAGGTACTCGAAGGCCTGTGCCGATATCTACCATTTTCACAGCTAACCTTGTTTTGCTAGAAATATTGTGATGTGTGAAATTTGAAGACAATCGGATGCTTATTTCGCATTTTATGAGCATTTGGGTTGTTCAAAATTCCGACCCCTTTGTGGGGAAGGTACCATAAGGAGTGGTCCAATAACATCCATCTTTACACCAGATCTTGTGTTGGTAGAAGTATTGCGATGGGTGATAATTGAAAGGAGTTGAATGCTTATTTAACATTTTATGAGAGTTTTATTTATTCAAAAATGTTGACCCCATTGTGGGGGAGGTACCAGAAGGAGTGCCCCGATATGTTCCATCTTCACAGCAGATCTTGTGTTGATAAAAATATTGCTATTTGCCGAATTTGAAAGTAATCGGGTGCGTATTTCGCTTTTTATAAGCTCTATGCTTTTTAAACATTTTCGATCCGTTGTGGGAGAGGTACCCGAAGAAGTGACCCGTTCCATCCATACTTCATACCAGATCTTATGTTGGTAGAAATATTGAGATGTGCCTGATTTGAAGGCAATTGAACTCTTATTTCACAATTTATAAGAGTTACAATCATTCAAAATTTTAACCCTTTGTGGGGGAGGTACTTGGTGAAGTGGGTCGATATTGTTCATTTTCGCACCTGACCTAGCACTGATGCAAATATTGGGATTTGCAAAGTTTGCAACACATTGGATGATCTTTTTCGTTTTCTGTTAGGTAATTTTTTTCCATGAAAATTTTGACCTCTTTTTTTTGTTAGGTACCAGAAGAAGTGGACCGATATTGACAATCTCCGAACTCGATCTAAGTTTGAGAATAATGTTACGATGTACCAACTCCGATAATTCATTCAATTGTTACTCTGCGTTCCAGTCAGCTAGCCATCCTGGATCAACTACAAATGTCCTGATATGGATTTGGTTGAGACAGGTTTTTGGCTGCATCAAATGATATTTAACCGCTATAGCTAAAAAACCAAAAATGTAGCTTTAATGTACATTTTTCAAAATCCTTTCTGAATTTGAAAATTCCTTCGAAAATCTTTTTCGAGTTTCTGGTATTTTTTCAAAGAAAATTGCAATTCTAAATCTGATGGACCTAAAAAAATCCATGAATTATTCCTTTCAAATAAAATTCGCTTTCAGTGTCTTTTCAAAACCGCACTCATTAATATGATGCTGTGCCAACAGTGAAATGAAGTCGTCTTTTAAAATCGTGACACTAAGAAGTATTGACATTTTGACAGTTGATAACAGAGTATCTTTTAATGGAAATGAAATCGAGGGTAAACACCCCGGGGCAAAGGCAACAATTAAGAGATGATAATTCTTTTGGCGTTTCCAAAAACAGACAACAGTAACAACAGCAAAAATAAAATATCAACAACATACCGACAGCAGGCACACTTTTGAAAACGCAGCAAGCACATTGTGGAAAAGTAAAAATAATTTTCAAAAAAAAAAAAACAAAGCAAAAACACAGAAGACGACAAAGAATAATATTAACAGTAACCTGAACGGACAGCTAAAATACCATAAATGGACAGTAAACAGCAATATTATGTCAGAGAATTGCCTTAAAGAATTTTTTAACAAAATAACAACAACAACAACGATATTGTAAACAATGGTCTGTTGCTGTGGTCGGATATTCGGACCGGAATAATAGCAGCAACAGAATCGCCACCGGCAGCCACATTACAAGAAAACCAGAAAGAAGAGAGATACAATCAAAGAAGTAAACAATTCAACCAAGCAACCAACTGGTCAGCCAACCAACCAACCATCCGGCCAAAAGAAATGCTGCAGCGCAGCACTTGATGGGTGGTCAGGGTTGCCAATTTACAATTTCGATTTAACTTTGGGGGACTTTGTATAGGGGTATTGTTTTGAGACCTTTTTGTGTAATGTTTATACCCCCAGTCATACAGGGTGAGATAAAAAAACTGCAACAAAGTCAAACGCCATAATTTTTTTTTTTTGAAATTTTTTTTTGAATGAAAGCAAAAAATGTCGGAAATAGCATCAAATTTTAGAATAAGTTTAGATTTGTTCGAACTAGTCACCTTTGGTACGAATTATGGCCTTCAAACGGCCGTCACACGCTGCCCGAATGTTGTTCTGCGGTATTTTTGCCCATTTCCGGCAAGCGCTTGCTTGAGGTGATCGACACAAATTTTAGAATAAGATTAGATTTGTTCGAATTGGTCACCTTCAGGCACAAATTATGGCCTTCAAACGGCCAATGAAACCGTTACAAGCTGCCCAAATGTTGCTCTGCGGGTTTTTTAACCCATTCCCGGCGAAGCGCTTGCCTGGGGTAATCGACACATTGGTATTTTTTAGTGCCAACCTTGCTTTACAAAATACTCCAGAGACACATATGGTCCAATGGATTGGTATCCGGAGATTTTGGTGGCCATTGGGCGCTGGAAATGAAGCGAGGAACCTCATTTTGTAACCATTCTTGGGTGGCGCGTGCTGAGTCTTGTTGGAATGTCCAAGTCTGCGGCCAAAATGTTTGTGTGCCCAAGGCTTCAATACACCCTCCAGAATATTTTCGCCATAATATTCGGCATTTATTCTGATGCAACGGTCAATTAATACGAGCGGAGAGTGACCATCGGTTGTTATGGTGGCCCACACACCATTACGATGGCCGGCGCTTGAGTTCTGGTGGCCAACCGAGGGTGCATATTTCCAGCTAACCTCTCTAGCAAGTAAACACGATCGTTTTGTTTTTTTTTACAAACTGCTGGACAACGAATGTTTTCTCATCGGAGCGGAGAAAACCAAATTCGGTAGTTCTCTACTTTCGGCCAAGCGAAGCAACTCTTTAGCTCTTTTAAGTCTATTTTCTTTCTGATGCGGTGTAAGTTCTTGCCGTTTTTGGAACTTCAATGGCTTTACCCCGAGCTCATTTTCCAATATTTGCCGAATGGTGGAATATTGCGAAATGTTCAGCTCAAGAGCCATTTTTGAACCAATGCGACGCGGGTCAAGTCGCTTTCGTTACTTTTCGAACCATTTCTGCTGATGTTGCTGTTTTCTTCCATTCCACTTCCTTGACGTCGGGCTACGCTACCAGTAATCACGGTAACGAGCGATTTATTCACATTTAAATGCTGGAGTGCTCTAACGATATCCACTTTTGGTTTTCCAGCCAGTATATAAAGAAATCACACTATCACGCTTGAATTCCATCACGAATAACTTTTTTTCTGGGAAAATTCTCACCAAAATGCTTTTGTACGCTTGTAAACAATATAATGAGCTGTCACTGGAATAATTTTAACAGCTTTCGAGCGAGTGGCTTAGAAATGACAGCAGTCTGAAGTTGTTGGCCGATTTTTTCATCTCACTCTGTATGGTTACATAGTGTATAAATCATTCACAGACTACCTTCCACACCACCCCACACCCCCCGAAATCCAACCTTTTAAAATAAAAACACCATGACTAATCATGTTTCTGGTTTTGAATATTTTTTATAATATTTTATCATTCCCTCTTTTCTAAAATTAATTAAAACAAAAAACATTAAATTGTTTACCAATGGGAAAAAAGTGAAAATATCACAAAAAAATTAAAAATAAACCAATTTAGCATATAGAAGAAAATAAAAATAAACCTGCAAAGAAAAACAGCACCACAACAACAGCAATATTCTCAAAATCGACTCATTCTATAAACTGACCACAAAAAAAAAAAAAAAAAAAAAAACGAGCAAAAACAAACACAACAACGACAAACAAGGCGAAAGAAAGAAAGAAATTCCCAAACTATTTTTAAATAAATTCTGAAAAAATTACGATTTATCTAAAGCCCCAAATGAACATCATGCAGATGTTGGATGTCGTTCGTCTATCGGTGTGAACAGAAAATACACACACACACACACATACACTAATGTGCTGCCCTAAACAAGAGATTTTGTTTGTTTTGTTTATAGTTTAGAAATTATCAGCCTGTTCCACGATCTCGAAAGAAAATTTGTGCGAACGAAGGCTACTCACTCACTTTCGCATAAGAATGCGTTCCACTAACTTTCGTTCTTTCTTTCGCATAGCCTTACGTGATTCAGTGTTGCAAAATATTTTTTGGCAAAATTAATCGCGAAATAAGGCAAAAAAAAGCGCCAAATGTCTAATTTAAACGCGAAAAAGCAGCAGTGGCTCTGTCTCAACTGACAGTTCAGTTGTAAACAAACTAATTGTAAATAAACAAACAAAATAAAATTTCTAGTGATTGAGTTCAGATTATTTGTGTTCTTAAAAAAGAAAAAAATGAATATTTCTGTGGCCCTGTTTTTTATGGATGATGAGGAGGAGGTACAAAATGTGCCACGGAGGCATTTAAGAGATGCTTCGAATTTATTTGAAGTACCTAACAACCAGTAAGTATGATTGTATTTTTACATTTTTGAAATAATAAAAAATGATTTTTTCTAGGTTTGTGGCCAATTTTCGTGTGTCGAAGGAAGTTTTTCGGGCTCTTTTGGATATGATGGAAGAGAAGTGGGTGGCCGGTTGCAGAACTACCCAAATCCGCCCCGATTTAAAACTTGGCACATTCTTGCGGTTTTTGGCAACAGGAAGCTACCAACAGAATCTAGGGAACGAAGCCTTGACTTCAACAGCGAAGTCGACAGTGAGCAGAACCATTGCGGAATGTCTGCAGATTTTTGAGGACCACATTTGCGGCCAATGGATAAAAAAGCCGACACTTACAGAGGAACGCAACACAATGGAGGCTTTCTATGAAAGAACAATGTTCCCTGGAATTGTTGGATGCGTTGATGGCACGCATATCCGCATCAAGTCACCAGGGGACGAATTGAAAGCCCTTTACTATAATAGAAAGGGTTATTATAGTATAAATGCAATGGTGGTAAGTAAATACATTTATCGTAAAGCGATTTTAAAATTATTGTGTTTTTTCGAATTAGATATGTGACCATAAAATGCGTATAACATTTGTCGACGCTAGACATCCCGGAAGCAACCATGATGCATTTGTATGGGAAAGGAGTGATCCAGACAAGTGTATGCAAAGGGAGTTTGACAATGGAAAACGAAACTTTTGGATTCTCGGTGAGTAATTTGTATACATCTTATATCATAATACATCAATTACATTTGTGTTTTCTTTTTTATAGGGGATGGAGGATACAAATTGAAGCCCTTTCTTATGACGCCTTACCGCAGCCCTAGAGATGTCGCCGAGAAAAAATTCAATAAGAGACATGCTAGTGCGCGTAACGTCATTGAAAGGTGCTTTGGGGTCCTAAAAAACAGATTCCGATGTATCATCGGATCTCGGGGCCTTCATTATGACGCTGCAAAGGTAGTGCAAATTATAAATGCATGTTGTGCGCTGCACAACATGTGCATACACTACCGATCTGAAGAGCCGCCAGGTGATGTTATTGATGATGATCTGGAAGACGAAGTGGATGACAATAATGATCTTGAAAGCAGAGCTGACGCAATAAGGAGAAAAATTGCAATAAATTTGTAAAATTAAAAGAATTTTTTATTAAAATAAAATAATATAAATTAAAAATTAAAAAATTAGTTTAAATTATTATAAAAGGACTATAGTGAATTGTTTTGTGAATTGTTTTGCAAAAAAGTTGATAGAATTGCTTCTATAGACTTAAGCATTTTTGTTTGGGCCTCGGCACAATCTGCCATTCTCTCTGCAGCGTCAGCCATCCTTTTGCTTGCATCTGCTTGCTCCTTGGCTATTGCATTTGCCTGCTCGACCAGCCGCAATTGCCGACGGATAAGAGGTATTTGCTCTCCGACGTTGGAACGTTTTTTTGCTGATGATGTGGATGGAAAATTATGTTGTGATGTGCATTTGAATGGGGGTGATTTCTGCACGGTTTGATGTTCCATGTGTTGACGAGGGGACGTTGTTTGTTTACGTTGGTGTTGCTGTTGGGTCTGTGTTTGTTGTGTGTGTGCTGACTGTGTCTGAGTTTGTTGTGTGTGTGCTGACTGTGCCTGTTGTTTTGCAGTTTGTGTGTAGAAATGGGGTGAGATTTTTGTCTTTTGGCTGGTGGTTAGTATTGTTGAGTTGTGATGGTACAGGTTTTTACGTTTATTTGTTGTTGTTGGGTATGTGATTCTGGGGAACTGAACTGTCTGGTAGGTGTTACCACTGCTACGGTCTTGGATGGTCTTGATGGTGTGGTATCCAATGCCTCGAAGCAGTAATCTATTTCGTCCGCGTAGCCAAAAGTTTTACCACTTGGTGCTGCGGACTTCGACAAGAAGAGTGTCCGGTCAATTGCTATTTCCAGTTCCGTTAGGCACTCAAACCGGTATAAACCACCACCGGTACCTTGCAGCCCTTTTTTATTTTCCGCAATTTTCTTTTTGGTGCGGGACTTTGATCGGCCCACGTCTGTAAATAGTAATGCCGGTCAGACAAATAGATCGTAAGACGAGTTTTCTGACTTACCTTTTTCCACTCTGCAATTGTGCGGGAAGGAGGACCCATGGTATTTAATTTAAAAACTAACTTCTTCCAGTGGTCCTCCAGGGATTGCCTGCTGCTTCCAAAAATTGGCACTCCTCTGGCAAACTCGGGATTCTCCTCCATATACTCAACTAGTGCCCGCAGCTGTGTAGTTGATGATTTTTTCGTGCTGGAATTGAGAAAATAAAAAAATATATTTATTGTTCCCATAATAAATCGGATTTATTATTTTTACTTACATTTTTGTTTCCATTTTCAATTAAGCAATGTTTATGTTTTAAAACAGATTTTCCTTAATTGTTATCGTACGACAGCAAACACACAAGTGACTGATTTTGACATTTGTGTTCGCATGCGTACGAAAGAAAAAAGATAGTGGAACGCAAAATTACACTGAAACGCTTACGTTTTCGTTCGCATTGATTTTCGTGCAAATTTTCGTTCTGATGGATTTTAGTGGAACGGAAATCAGCTGTTTGTCGTGTAAAAGTTGTGCGAACGTGTTCTTTCGATATCGTGGAACAGGCTGTATATTTTTAGATACACACACATACAATTTTGAAAACAAGAAAGATACACAATTTTGGTCACAGCAATTCCTTGCAGTGCAGATTTTTTTGGGAGATTTTTTTTACAATTTCTTATAACAGGGTATTTTTTGCATAGAAGATATTCCTTGGTCCACACAACAGTGGCCAAAATTTAAATATTGGGTTTTGAATTTTGAAAACTACACATATTTGTTTTAACTTTTTCTAAAAAAAATATTCCAGAAATTGTTTTCAAGAAACAAGGAAAAAAGTATCCGTTGGCTTCGCCAAACAGACAGGGTATACGTCTGTATACGAGCAGCCAATGTTCGTTTATTTAAAAATATTTTGACTTTGGCGTTATGATTATTTAAATTCTGGACTCTTATTGGGACAGGAATCGAGAGAGTGGGCCAATATTGTAATATTCCCTCACTATATGAGATATGTGATATTTTTGAAAAGAATCGCTGACTCGTTTCGCAAATTATAAGACAAACAAATATACAAGAAGGCGTGCGCCGATGTCTGCCACCTTCACACCACATCTTGTGTTATTAGAAATATTGAAATATTTTTAAAGCATTTTCCTTTTTCAAAATTCTGATATCTTTCTGAAGAAGGTAGCCAAAGGGATGGACTTATAAATGTCATCTCTATATCTTGTGTTGGTAGAAATATTGGAATGTACAAAATTTAAAGAAAGGTTATAATTATTCAAAATTTTGACCCATTTGTGGGGGGAGGTACCAGAAGGAGAGGACCTATATCTACCATTTTCACGCTAGATCTTTTGTTAGTAAAAATTGAGGAATATGTGGAGGTTTGAAAATCTGAATCTAAAAAAAAACGCATTTTATGAGATTTATAATTAATCAATAATTTTGACCTATTTTGGGGGTGGTATTTGAGGGAGTGGGCCGATTTCTATCATCTTCACACCAAATCTGGTCTTAGTAGAAATTTTGGAATTTTGACTCTTTCTGGGGGAGGTTCACGAAGTAGTGGTCCGGTATATTCCATCTTCACACCAGATCTTGCGTTGATAGGAATATTTGGATGTGTGAAATTTGAATGGAGTCGGAGGCCTATTAAGGATTCTTTGAAAGTTATAATTTTTCAAAAATTTAGATCAGTTGTGGGGGAGGTACCAGAAGGAGTGGGCCGATGTATCCCACCTCCATGCTAGATCTTGTGTGGCTAGAAATATATAAATGTGAAAAGTTTGACAAGAATCAAATGGTTATTTCGCGTTTTATGAGCATTTTGGTTATTCAAAAAGTTGATCCCTTTGTGGGGAAGGTACCAGAAGGAGTGGTCCGATATCTACCATCTTCACAACAGATACTGTATTAAGAGAAATATTGGAATGTGCAAAGTTTAAAAAACAATTAGACGATTAATTTGTATTTTATAAGCGTTTCAGTTATTCAAAATGTTTACCCGTTTGTGGTGGAGTATCAGAAGGAGCGGTCTGTTCTATCCGTTGTTCATAGCAGTTCTTGTGCTGGTAGAAATATTGTGATGTACGAAATTTGAAGACAATGGGTCCCTAATTTCACATTTTGTAAGGGTTATAATTATTCAAAAATTTTGACCTATTGTGGGGGAGGTACAAGAAGAAGTGGTCCGTCCATTTTCACATCTGATCTTGTGTTGGTAGAAATGTTGGCATATATGAAATTTTAAGGGTGTCGAATGCCTATTTAGGGTTCTATGAGAGTTATAATTTTTCAAAAATTTTGACCAGTTGTGGGGGGGGGGCACCAAAAGGAGTGGTCCGATATAATTCATCTTCACACCAGATCTTGTATTAGTAAAAAATATTAGGATGTGTGAAATTTGAAGAGAAATGGACGCCTCTTTTAGCATTTTATAAGCATTTTTTTCTTCAAAAATTTAACACCTTCTTGGGGAAGTCGCCAGAAGGTGTGGTCTGTTCTATGTGTTCTTCATGCCACATCTTCTCTTAGTAGAAATATTGAAATGTGCAAAATGTGAACATAATCAGACTCTTATTTCTCAGCGCTATAATGTATTCAAAATGTTGACCCTTTGTGGAAGAGGTACTTGATGGAGTGGTCCGATATTGCCTACTTTCGCACAAGTCTTACACTTATAAAAATCTGAGGATTTGCAAACTTTGCCGAAAATTGGATAATCCTTTTTTGTTCTATAAGGTAAATTATTTTCTGTACATATGTTGACGTTTTGTGAGGGAGGTGCCAGGAGGAGTGCCCGATATTGCCCATCTCTAGAATCCAACTAAGTTTAATAATAATATTACGATGAACCAATGTTGGATCAAATTGGACAACGTGCGCATCAGCCAAGCGAACTGACCAACGGACCGACACGCCTATATCGACTCCAAATGTCTTGAAATGGAGTTGGCCAAAGGTACCCAGGGTTTAAAATCTTTATTTCGATAAGGCACTTTTTTGTCGTATCAAATGATATATAGCCTCTGTAGCCATATTGTTATAAAAATTCAGTCCCGTGGACTAAGAAAATTTCTTCATAGAAGATTTTGCTTTGCCCTGACAGTCCCCTAATACAAATTTTTCCCTATAGAATAAAATATTAAAAAAAAATTAATTTAAAATGTTCATGTTTTCCATTTTTGCAAATATTTACATTTTTTAATGTATATATTTACAAAATATATTTTTTATAGAAGACCTGAAGGTCTTTTTTAGAGGATATTAAATATTTTCGTTTATAGAAGACCAGAAGGTGTTCTTTAATGGAAGACCACAAGGTCTTTCTTCTTATACAAAAAAAATTCACAGTCCACAGTATTTCCTATGGAATAAAATATTAAAAAATTAATTGAAAATATTCAAAACCATTGTCCAAATGTTTTCCATTTTTGCAAATATTTACATTTTTTTGTTTTTTTTTTGTACTCTATGCAATTTGTTAATTGTTTTTTATATATTTAATTTTTTTCGGATTTTTTTGGTTTTTGATTTTACTTCTGACAAATTCTGTCAAAAACAAAGAAGCTCCACATCAACCATTCGTTGAAATAGCAAAAAAATTGGACACGATATTTTTGTCCCACAACCATATAATTGTTTGAAATAATATGCGTGAGAGTTTGAACAAAAGACTTTAATTGCCAAATGAGTTATTCGTTATGTTCTCAATTCTATATATACAGACAATTTCGAAATGTCATTAAAATCCGATTTTTGTTTATATTTTTAAACAAATAAATATATATAAATGTAAATAATTAACATTGTAGAAAAATGTCAAGGCTAATGATTTATTTTCTATACTTAAAAAAATGTATTAAAAACAATCATTTTTTTAAGAATATATATATTTTTTAAAGCGAAATAAAAAATATCTTTTGACTCAATATATGGCTATATATTTTTTCGCATAGAGAATGTCAGTATGTATTTTGTTAGCCCAGAGAGTGGACAGTTATCTCTTAGAGAGTGAGAACATTCTTTGTTCTCTGTTTTATATTGATTTAAAGATCTCAGT